TATAAAAAAAACAGATTTAAAAAAGATAGGGAGGGGGGGATTGGCGGGAATGCGCGCGGCGCGCATTTTAGTTGGAAAACACATTTTTCCCGCATTTCTCGAATTCGACGCGTTTTGATTGCGCGTCGCGCCTAGGCGCTCTTAAGCGCTTTTTCACGGTTTTTAGAACATGGCATACGACCACCACCTATACTGTTGTCGTCACCACCACAACCACTAACACCAACACCACCATCAACACAATGCTATCATTGTCAGCTACCATCACATCGCTGTCAACCACCAACACCGTCGTTGCTGTTGTCGACCAGCACCACTAACATCACCACCACTTCAACACCGCAGCCAACATCACAACCACCACCACCCAACTACAACCACCGCCACAACTTGCAAACCACTACCAGTTTACCCTAAAAAACTCTAGATTTTCACCACCAGCACACCACCACCACCTTACCACCAACACCTAAAACAACCAACAACAGATTGAAAGGAAGAAACACCACGTCACCGCCGCTGCTGCAACAACTGTAGCTCTCAAAGCAACGCAGAGTCATCCTAGACATATCAGAGGGAAGAAATACTACATCCATACCGTAGCCGTCCCCAAAACCACATATTTTCAACCTTAATGACGGACCTCGTTAAGGAGAGCGAGAGAAGAGATTCTGGCAGGGAGAGCAAGAAATGGAGAATTGATTAAAATAATTTAGGTTTTGAAAGTAGGTAGAGTGAGTGTTTTGGTGGGTGTTGAATTTGTAATATAATTAATATTATTGATTAAAAATTACTTCACACCTGATTTTTGCACTTTAAAGTTTAAACACCTGATCTATGTAATTTTCCCTTAAAATTTTAAGCCAAAGTCTATAATTAATTTTAACAACATTTTTTATGAAATTCACAACTTTTCAACTATATATCTCATCAACTTTTATCAAAATTTACTAAAAATTCGATGTTAATCTCTACAAAACATGGGTTTATAACCTTTTGCAGGATTATCTTTATTCAACAAAATCAATCAGGATTCTTTAAACAAAAACCCAAGGATTTGAGTTAATGGGAGAAACTCATTAATGTTATTTATAGTCTACAGTTACATTGGTCATTTTATTTGACAACATGTTATTTGAGACATTAGTTTCATGTATTCCAATTGTCTCAAATAACAAGTTGGCGCGTAAGATGACTACTGCAATTGCTGATTATTTTAATATGAAATTTGAATCTATCCAAAAATTAGGGACGAAAAGTTCGCCATTATCTCCAAGCAGTGAAGAAGGAACCTAATTTTTCAAATGAGCCCTTGTTTGGCACATATTCTTTCAAAACGCATTTTCAATCAAATATATTTCAATAAAATAATATTTTTCATCACATGAATAACTTTTCCTTATTTTTTAACCACATATTTTCCATCATATTACTATTTAAAATACATTTTTTCCTCAATAATATCCATCAAATACCTCCCGAGTATCAATATTACGTATTTTTCTATTTTGTGATGGGACAACAATTGTGGGCCTAAGTATTCCCAATTTTTATTTACATAAAAGGAACTTCTCAATCAAAGTATAAATTTACTTAAATTTGCTTTAGTTAAAAGCAGTAAGTGCATTTTGTCACACTTTTATGCACTTTCATGAACCCTCGGGTGGGGATTTAAGAGACTTAGCAACGAACAAGATTTTTAGTACTCTATAATCCACTTCGAGTACCTATAATTATTCTCACCGTTTGCAACATCTTTAAATGAGAGATTTCTGCATTTGAAAAATCACATTACAAATGGAAAAATCATCCTGGAGAAAGGAAAAATGTACCTAAAATATATATATAGTCTCTCCTACAATATGACTTTCATCCCAACAGACTCGTTTTTCTTTCATGCCTTTATTTCGTATTTTAGCCCAATATTTCTATTGCCTAAACAAAAGAACATATTTTTCTTGATATACAAACGAGTCCACTAACAAAAGTACACGCTCCTGCCTTCTTCCACCACCCTCAATAAACAAGTAACGTCGGGCAGAATAGAGGTTATTCTACAGGCAGGTAGTAACATGTAATGAACAGAGTACAATCTCGTTCATTTTAACAGATAATTAAAAACCACGTGGCCTAATTTTTCCTAATCAAGAAAATAGAGTACAATTTCTCAATTTCCTCTTTAAGGTACCAAAATCTTACATAAAACAATACTACAAATCCAATGCCTCTATGTGAAAGAGAGGTACTATATCAATCAAACTCTCAAATCAAATAATTGGGAAAAACAAAGGGATTTAGTAAATAAAGACAGACAAAAAACAAAACATTAAGCGTTATCGTTCTGATATAGAGAAAATATAAATAAACATAAGAATCATAATTCTTGTATCTTGTTGGGCTAAGTTTCAAGAAGTAAAAATACTTTTTTAGGATAAGTAAAGAATTACGATGAATTTCACCAAATGTCACTGAGGTTTGTAAAAGAAATTAAATTTATCGTTAAAGTAATCCTATTAGTCGCTGAAGACTAAAATTGTTAACAGTTTCCCAAATAGTTACTCGATAAAAAAATAGCGTAAACTTCAAGGGATCGTTGTTAAGTAGGTGGAATTCGGCTCTCCCACCATCGCGCTAGCATCGACCACGTGGCGAGCTAGCTCGTGCTCGCAAATGGGGGTGAGCAGAACACTAGTTGGCTCATTTCCAAAATCTCGCTCGGCTCGCTCCACCAACTCGTCCTTAGGTGGGACGAGGAGAGCCAACTCGCACCTCACCTCTTTTATATTTTACAATTTTTAAACTAAAAATTTGCATTTTTATCCCCCCGAACAGGAAGTGTAATAAGTATTAATTAAAAATTTGTTATAAATTTACAATACGAGATGTAAAGAAATTTACAATATTTTATTTTGTCAGAAGAATTTAATAAGAGAATTATAAGGTTTTAAAACCTCGTCTCCTTTATTCGGACTTTAAATCGACTACATACTATGTAGTCGGAGTTATCCGTAAAAAAATTAACTAAATAATAACAAATAATAGAAGTTATGTGAAAAATTTAGAGAATATGTGAAGACTGAAGAGAGCAAAAGTTCTGTGAAAAATTTAAAGACGTTCGTACTACCTTAGAAAAAATAATCATGCGAAAAATCTTGGAAAAAAATTCTAAAATTCAAATTTGAAATTTCAGGTAGCCGTTGAAATGACAATTGCTACAAAATGTAGCACTGCTGCATTCGTGCAGGGCTAGGCGAGTCAATAACCTCTTCTTACAAGCCGAGATGGAAAGCCCACAAGTTAGCTCGCTTGGTCGATTTGCACGAGAATATCAATGTTTCGCTCACCTAATTGTTGGAGGGGAATCCCAAATGCATCCTTCATCTAAATCTCTAATCGTGTCCATATTTTATCAAAGTAATTGAGATGACCAACCTAAGAGAACTCAATTACATTAAAAAAAACAATTGAAATTAACAAATCAAGAAAAGAAAAAAGTTGAAAACAAGCTAAGAACAATTATTCACTTCAAAATAAATAATACTTTTTTGCATTTAAATATTTTTAATGGCGTTTTGTGGACATAGGACCTTTGACCTTATCTTTTTCCATATTAATATATGTGAAAGAGATGCTATAAGTACAGGAAAATTCACATGTTTTTGCAGCCAAACCTGTGAATTTTTCCTGTACTTATAGCATCTCTCATAGAATAAATCTACAGAGCAGTGTCTTTCTGTGCAAAAACCTGTGAAATTTTACTGTACCTGCATAATTATTCTATATGTGAATATGCATCATGTGCTGAATCTTCGACACAAAAATCACCCAATCAACTCCCACAAAAATATTTCCATAATTAAGCTTTTCAATAGATTTCGATTGAATACTTACCGAATTGTGTGTTCGATTTTAAAAATATTTGACATCTTTTCCTTTTCTAATTTGGCTCTGTCATAAGGAAACTTCTCGATTAATATTTGACCACCAAATCGAACTCCTAGTACAAAGAACCCTAAATTTCTTCAATCAAGAACATGGCAGAAGTACCTCGTGTTGGTTCCAGATATCAACCCACAGACTCAGAACTACTACAGTGTCTGCTATGCAAAGCACATGGAAAGCCGTTTCCGGCCGTTGATCTTATAAGGGAATGTGATCTTTACAGCGGTGTTGAACCCTTGGAATTATTCCGAGAAACAGACAATAATGTCCTGTATTTCTTCACCAAGTTGGAGAAAAAGAAGAAGAATAAGGGTCAAGCAGGGAAGGGTATATGGAAAGGTGTAACTAAAACAGAAGTTTATAGTGTTAATGGAAAGTGCAGAGGATACAAGAAAAGTTATGTGTATGAGACGGTGGAAAATGGTAAAATTGGATACAATATGGATGAGTACAGCTTGGATTCCTCCTCTTTACTTCGTGCAAAAGTAAGTTGGATTAATTTTATAATATTTGTTTTTTATTTTCATGAGTTTTCTAATTTAATTTTCTGTTAGTTTGAAGATTTCTTGGTTGATAATCCTGTATCTTGAAGGGATTAATGATTATATCTAATCTGAATTGAATCCAATAGGACTGAGTAATTACGTGAGAATGATTGTAATAAGCCCATGTTAATGTTGCATGCATTGTTGAGGCTTGGTTTGTATTGCTGAGATTTTAAGATAAATCAACTGTTGTTTTGCTGCAAAATGAATTGATTATAATGATGTTTCTTGTTCGGTAATCTGATTATCAAAATTCTTTTAATGGCATAATTAAGTAAGTCGATGAGAGAAGAAAATAAAAGGGTTGGAAAATTCGAGATTTTAATTTTGCTTGTTTGATCGAATATGAATTCAAGAAACTGGACGAAGTAGAGGGATTTTCTTGTTTAGTGCCAGCCTATCTTGACAATCGTACTAACCAATCTCTCTTGTTTACTGAGTGCAGTTCAAGGACAACGTCCTCTGCCGAATCGAGCAAAAATATCAGAAACATGGGAAAAATCGCAATCTAAAGGACTTAAATGGAGAAATCCGTGATATCCAGAAGTACACTTTCTCCAGGCCGCCTCGTGCTGGAGGATCAGATTCATCGGTCTCCATCTTGGCGCCTGCATTTACTGATCAACAAGTAGAAGTTGTACTTGGATTACCGGCTCAGATTTCACAAGAAGAACTGCCGAAATCCCAGCAGACAAGTACTGGTGAATACTCGCTGCAAAACATGGACTGTGATGGCTCAAATTACGCTGAGTTTGCTGAAATTTTTGCACGGGATTTGAAGGCACAAAACCCACAAGAATTGAAGGATGAAGAAGTCTTGCAGCCTAATCCATGGGCTGCTCAAATGGTGGGCTGGCTTTATCAGTAGCTATATATAATTTTGAGCTCTAATTTTGAGTCTTCTACAAGTTTTAGAAAAGCCATAGTTTTGAGCAATGTACATAAATTCAAGTTTTGGTCAGTATATATACATAAGTTCCTCAACCTACAGAATTAAATCCATATTTAAGCCTCACATCTACAATAGGCTTAAGCTCATGTATCATCATTCCCTATTGAACTTCTTTACTAGTTTTAAATTGTTTTTATCAAAGTTGTTGTTTTGTCATTTTTCAATTTGTAAATTTAAGCCCTGTTTGGGAGAAATTTTAATCAGGATTTTAATCAAAAATCTAG